TATTACCTATTACCTATACATTCTGAAGCTCTAACCTATATCCATCGAAACTAACCTGTTCTTTAGTTTTTAGAATCTGTTTGGTATAATTTGGGATTGTGTTAACATCAGATTTTCCCATGAAGAGTGTTTATTAACTTGTCACTAGGTAACAGGTAGGCATCAAGCCCACATTCCAATTTGTGTGTAAGTTCACCGCCCTTGTTTGCACCTGCCAAGCCACACCTGTTTTTCCTCTTTGACAAACAGAGCACTCTTGAACTTTCACTATCTCAGCCCTAAAAGTATGCACGTTCTAGATTCTTAATAACCTTTCACAGCAGCTTTCAACTATGATTCATGCTTCCACAGGAAAAAAAGGGATTCTACGTATGAAAAAGTATAGTCACTGTCAGCTTTCTGAATAAACACATCTGTGGGTGTAGCTTAATGTGTGTATTGTATGAATAGGAGCTAGTTTCTCTCTCTCTGAGCTGATTCATTCAGTTTGTGGTTAACTGAATTCAGACCACTATTATTGTGTGTCTGCCCCAACAATAAAGGGACTTGCTAGTAGCTGAAAAGCCTGTGTTCTGTGAAGGTGTGCCAAAATGACCAGTGTTATAAGCAATCTAGGATCTCATTACATTGAGGTCTTCAAGCTGGGGGACAGCAACAGGGCCGTAGCCAGAAAATTTTTTAGGAGGGGTTGAAATTTTCGGGGGGGGGGGGGTTGAAATTTTTTGGGGGGGGGGTGAAACCTGCCTCCTAGCTCACGCTGAAGCAAAGAGCACAGCAGGGGGCAGAGCAGCCTTCAATAGCCTGCAGCTCCGCCCCTGTCAACCACCTCCACCAAGTCTGGTCTCCTTAATGAGAACATTCAACACACACACACACAACTTGGTTGCTTCACTACATCGGCTATTGCTGCTAGTAATGACAGTGTGAATAAATTATCAATATTTGCTTGAGATAGTGCTTGCAGTTCTGGAGGGACTCTTAATTTTTTGCATCTCATAGACTTAGCATGGGGATTTGGTTAACCAGTTAAAATTCATGAGTAAACCAGGTTTTTTTAAAAAAATCTGAAACATTTCGGGGGGGGGGTTGAACCCCTAACCCCCCCCCCCCTCGCTACAGGCCTGGACAGCAGGGTCATCAGTGGGGCAGCGGAGCAAATCTGTGGGACAGTGGGGGAAACTGTTGTCCCATGCCCCACATTGCTTGCATCACCGCCTTTCTCATCACATGGGGGAAAAGGTTGCTGTCCCTGGCTTAGCTAATGGGAACATGGGGAGCCACTCATGTTCTTAGGGCTCTATCTTAGGACAGTTCTAAGATGGAGCCCCACTGAAAGTAGCCCTGCATCATGTGATGGGATCCAGTGGGTTCTGGAAGTGTCCTAAAATGGAGCCCAAGCCTCATGTGATGTGGTTCATCTATATAAATAAAAATGTACTGTTCGTTTGTGGGATTAACATAATTCAAAAACCACTGGACAAATTGACACCGAATTTGGACGCAATTAAAAGCCAAAAAATACAAAGTACATTACAACACATGTGCAAAACCACACACATACACACACACACACATATATACGCAAACATACACAAATATATACATGCACACATATATACATAGACTGGGCCTGTCGGAACCCAGATGCCTTAAAGAGCCAGACACAGGAGTATATCCAAAACAATAGTTTATTAAGGCAAAGTAAACAGGATTCAGAGACACTTGCTTCAGTGCCTCTGGTCAAAACTTAAAGTTTGCAACGATTTGCAGCTTGAAAAACAAACTTGGAAAATAAACCAGATTATACTGGCAAATAAGAGTTCTTCCAAAACACACCAAAATCACACAGTTCAAAGATAATGAGCAAACAAAGAGCCGTGAAGAGAAGCCGTCATCTAGAAGCAGTCCCAAGTCAAAGAAATCCCAGTTGAAAGTCCCAAAGTCCAAAAGGCAGCGTCGTCGTCAGAAACAGTCCGAAGTCAAGGAGAAGGGAAATTCGCACTTATGAGAATCCAAGCCAGTCAGTACACAAAGAAGCGGCAACCTGCAGATCCTGGACCCAAGCCCAACAAGAGAAGCGGCAGCGACAAGACCCAAGGCACGAAACCAATGCTTTGCCTACTGCAAAGTTCTATCACTCCAGTGCCTTCATTTATCTTACAACTCATCATCCGATGATGAGCAGCCCTCTACCCCATCCTCGTCACTATCAGCTGGCTTAGCCTCTACAGCTGAACACCAATGCCCATCCCTCCAACTCTTCCACCTTTTGTCAAGACTTAGGTCTCCCCACGATTCCACGGTATCACCAGATTGCCAATCCCCACCACCAGAAAACCCCTCAAAAGTGTCACGGGATGTTGGTTGCGTACACACATTCCTAATCTCCTGGACGTTGGTTCAATCCAGTGGTTCCTCTTCATCCCCACTACTCCCAGACCCATCACTTCCAATAAAGCCCATGAAATCCTCTTCTTCAGTGGGAGCAGTAAGTATGTCCGGATCTTCTTTCTCTGGCGCTCCTCGTCTGACTCCTGCTCCCGAGTAATCCTCTTAATGCCTCTATTCCCATCTCCTTCCTCCTCACTCATTTCACTCTCGGAGAAACTCCTGAATTCTCTTCCTTTGCTCCTCATCTAACACCTGGGCGCCTCGTTTCCCTCCTCTACTACTACTACTACTATCAGTTGTAGCACTGCCAACAGACTCTACTACAACAGGGCCACAGCAACACGTGGCAGGGGATGGCTAGTAGTGTATATGAATTTAATAGCCTTCACTCACCATGCAGCCACTCCTCACTGTGCTCACAACATTCTGGAACTTTATCACAGGGTAGCCCCTTATTGAGAAAAGGTGGCGGATATTCTAGAGTTTGGCTGAAGCACCAGCGTATCTCAGAGCTTCAGCATACTATGGATATTACTTCAGAAGGTAGCATTTTTCTGAAAAGGCACAAATATCATTCTCTTTTTTTTTCCAAGGGTGCTCTGCTTTACTGTTAACTCCTATAAAGAGCTTTCCTTTGCTTTTTTGTTGTCTCTCCCCCCCCCCCCATAAATTATATACCTCCTTCATTCTCCAATATTGTGCTTAGTTCCCTGCCTTCCAGATATCTATCTCTGTTTTTTGATGACCTGGTGTGAAAAAGGAGAATGACTTACTTGATTAATACTCATTAATACTGCAGATCCTTTTCTGTGTAGATTCAGGTGGCTTATTTCCGTATCCTCATCAGCCAGCTCTGATCCGTAATTCCAGCTCACCATTTGAGTATATCATAGTAATAGTGGGGCTATTTATGACATCTCTGACTCCAATCAGGGGGCAGAGCAGGGCTGGAGTGATTTGACCCTACAGATGTTTTGTATTTCCTCTCCCACCAGCCTCATACAGTATAGGCCGGTGGGTTCTCAACCTGTGGGTCCCCAGATGTTTTGGCCTTCCACTCCCAGAAATCCTAACATCTGGTAAACTGACTGGGGACCCACAGGCTGAGAACCACTGCTATAGGCAGTAGTTAGGGATAGTGGGTGCTGAAATCCAAAACACATTGCAGGATATTTCCCTGGTCCTTAAACTTCCCTTATTCTTTGCAGCTTCATTTTTATTTTGATCCCAACTATATTAAAGTATGTTTTAATGGTTTTTAACTGGGATTTTAAAAAATACTGTTTATATTTAATCCTGTTTTAATGTTTGCCTATCTGTATATTTTAAATTGTATGGTGATGCTTTTATGTTAAGCTGCTCTCAGTCTCCTTTGGGAGAGATAAAATGAGGTATAAATAATAATAATCATCATCGTTGACGTCATCATCAACAACAAACAATCCCATGGCATCCATACCAACAAAGTTGAACTAGACCAGATGTTTGGTACATTTTTAGAAACGGTGCTCCCTCTAGTGATGGTTTGCATATTAATATCACTTGCTTCTCATGTTTTTTTGGGTTTTTTTTTTGGAAGTTTGTTGATGATTATGACGGCTGAGATTACATCTCTTGCTGAATCACAGATTTGCTAAGAAAATTAGATTGCAACTCCCATGATGTGCAATGCTTCCTATGTAATGGATTCCTATTTATGCAATAATGCAAGTTCTATCATGAATATTACTGGGATTGTGGCGCAGCTGGCTGAGTGTCAGCTGCATTAAGATCACTCTGACCAAAAGGTCATGAGTTCGAAGGCAGTCCGGATTGGAGTGGGTTTCCAACCAATTGTGTAGCCTGTTGTCTACCTTTGCAACCCAAAAGACAGTTGCATCTGTCAAGTAGGAAAATTAGGTACACTGTAATCCGCCCTGAGTCCCCTGCGGGGTGAGAAGGGCGGAATATAAAAGCTGTAAATAAATGAATAAATGAATAAATGAATAAATAAATGTCACTTTATATGTGCCACAAAACATACGATGTAACCGAACAATTCTTTTTCATCAGATTTATCTTCAGCTGCTGATTAATTAGGAGATAATGAGTATGGAAGATTCTCTAAAGATTATGTTGCCATTATCTTTTATGTGTTCTCCATTCTTGTTGATTTTGAGCGTGATGTCAATTTACTTGTGAGAAGGTGACACTACACAAGATGGGTTTTGTCATGACATTTGCAGAAAAGAACCCAATTTCTTGACACTGATGGATTTTAACATTTCTAAAATATGCACCAGCCTTCTTAATACTGTTTTTATAGCTATTTTTACAGAGAGGCATGAAGGGTTTCATTTGGATTTATTCATTCATTTATTTAATATTTCAAAGGAATTTTTGAGAAGTGATAATAAAATGCAGTGAACGAAGCAATAGTTTAGATATTTAACCTGCTATTTCTACACTCAGAAAAAGGAAAGTCTTACAAAATCTGGCCTTGTAAGATTGTGGTTCCTTTGCAGAAATATTCGCTTGCAGAAGATAGGCTCTGACATAAGACAGAATGGAAACTGCAGTCGAGAAATCTGAAGATGTGGAAAGGAAGCATACTTTAGACAGTGCACCATATCTCCTTTAAATGGAGAAAGCAGAAGTCAGGCATACAAATAATGAAAGATTTAAGATGCATTTGCCTGTGTATGTAAAAGAGACATCCAACCTAAAGTTCTGTAATTTCTTAAGAGATGAAAGTCTTGCTATGTCAGTCAAGAAGAAAACTGAATTCAGAGGATTTATTTCTTCCAGAACTGTTAACATGTTTGTTTCACCACCAAGATAAAATTGCTTGTGGTGATTTTGCATCTGATGAACATCATGGTGAGGAACATCTGCCACTGAATAGGATGCTCCCAGTGTTATTATGTCTTATGAAGAAAATGAAGGGACGGTTAGCTTTAAACTCTGGAAGAATTTCTGCACTTTCTGGAACTACTTCTACACCAGTAGCAGCGGCTGCTTCTGTACCCTCTTCATTAACATCAACATAAGCTTTATGAATGACCTTGGACACAAGCAGATTACGATCATGGTTTTGTGACATGCCTGATAAGTCAGCTTTGCCCAGTAGAAACATATCAGTCATTCCCATGGCTTTTAAAATTGGTTTGAGTTCATATTTTTCTTCCAGTTTGAACTTTGGCATGAAAACTCTCATTTTTTGTTTCTTCATATGTGCTGAACTGGTCCATTCTTTCAGCTTCACACACGTGAGTTCTCTTTCAAGCTGTAAAAATATAGTGGGAAGGTGTAGAAACATTATTAAAACAGATAATCTTTATCTAAAACCATTTATATAAAACCTGCTAACCTGGATCATTTGGCTTGCAGAGCTGTTGAATGATAGCCTTCCTCAGAGCTCCTCCTCATAGATAATGAAGAATTTGAAGAATAACTACGCAAGTTCTGGTTTTGAGAAGCAAAAGTTTATTGTTGAGCTTCATGCCTTTCTCAGGTTGGATGAGGGAAGAGCAAATCCAATTGAAGAGAAGGTGACACCCCAAGCAGCACTTCCACAAGCACTGGCTGAATCCCTTTTCAGAAAAACTACATATATCATCAGGGGTACCAGCATGCCCCTTTGGTTTGTGAATGGTTGTATAGGTGTGTGGGATTGAAGGTGTTTGTCAGTAATTGGCTGTAATGTATATGTGGAAGGGAGCAACATGCCATTACTACAGGGGTCTCATTCATTTTAAGTTATTACCCCACCCACTGCTAGTATGTGATCCAAGACGAAATTGTCTGGAGCAAGTTTTCCCAAGCTGGGTTGTTTAAATTAATGACAATCTATATCACTACATTTCTCTGTGTAGCACAGGCCTGGGGGAACAGACCTGTGGGTTAGACTCTTGGCCCTCTCTCCCAAGAGATCTGAGCAGCCATGTATCAAGCCATGCCCTCTTGCAGTGGCAGCTGAGAGAACTGCCCTACACGTCATGCGCATCGAATTCTGCGTGTGCGGGGGTTGTCTTTTCCGAAGCCCAAGTCGCTCGTTACTTCTATGGGAGGAGCATTGGTGGGCTGGCTGTGTTCCTCCTGCACACAAGTTAAGTGTAGCGACTGCTGCCACTTGGCATCAGCGTACAGCTTATGTGCTACAATATCCTCCGAGACCCTGCAGGCACACACAGCTATGCAGCCCCCCTTCCCCACAGAGCCCTATGCAACCGCATGTGAAACCCTCTCCACCATGCCTGTTCTAGTGGAGAGCAACCTTCAGTACTTCAGAATTGAAATGGAAAGCTCTCCTGCATTTTTAAATGTGGTTGTGAACTGACCTACAATTAAAAACACAGAAAACTGGACCTTAGAGAGATGGGCCAAAACTAACAAAATGAAGTTCAACAGTGACAAATGCAAGATACTCCACTTTGGCAGAAAAAACAAAATGCAAAGATACAGAATGGGGGACAATGCCTGGCTCGAGAGCAGTACACGTGTGAAAAAGATCTTGGAGTCCTCGTGGACAACAAGTTAAACATGAGCCAACAATGTGATGTGGCAGCAAAAAAAGCCAATGGGATTTTGGCCTGCATCAATAGGAGCATAGTGTCTGATCTAGGGAAGTAATGCTACCCCTCTATTCTGCTCTGGTTAGACCACACCTAGTTTTTTTAGAGGGGAAAATGTAATATAGATAAAGAGTAATAATGATGATGGTTTATTGGGCTACAGTGGCATAGGGACCAGAGAATGTATCCAGAGCTGGAATGTGTCCAGAGAAGGGCAACTAAAATGATCATGAGACATGATGACCATGTATAAATATGTGAAGGGAAGTCGGTCTGGAGTGGCTTAAGGAGCTGGGCATGTTTAGCCTGAAGAAGAGAAGGCTGAGAGGAGATATATGATAGCCATGTATAAATATGTGAGAGGAAGTCACAGGGAGGAGGGAGCAAGCTTGTTTTCTGCTGCCCTGGAGACTAGAAGTGAAGCAATGGCTTCAAACTACAAGAAAGGAGATTCCATCTGAACATGAGGAAGAACTTCCTGACTGTGAGAGCTGTTCAGCAGTGGAACTCTCTGCCTCAGAGTGTGGTGGAGGCTCCTTCTTTGGAAGCTTTTAAACAGAGGCTGGATGGCCATCTGTCAGGGGTGCTTTGAATGCAATATTCCTGCTTCTTGGCAGGGAGTTGGACTGGATGGCCCATGAGGTCTCTTCCAACTCTTTGATTCTATGATTCTTTTCTAAACTGCAGTAAGTATTTTAAATGAATGAAGTTTTGCTGGCTGTTTACTTAGAATTCATCTATACACAGACCATTGAGTCTGAATGGGTGTCTGCAAAATGCACACCATCAATGCACATCCCAAACTGTACATTAAAACCTCATCAGAAAGTTGGAATAAGTCAGATAATGTGCATATCAGAGTATATAACATGCAGGACTTGAAACTGGATTCGAAAATGTGGAGCGCTTGTCAGGACACCACTAGTGCTGACACCCTTAGTGGACTGGTTAAGAAAAAAAATTCCTGGCTTTGATTCCGGTCCTCATTAAGTGGATACAGTGTCCACTTTCCCAGCCTTAAACTGGTTTGGGTAGGCACAGCAAAACCGGTTCATTTTAATCCAGCTCCAAACTGTGTTATAGTGTCAACGTAGAAGCACCCCTACTTGTGCAGTGTAGATAAGGAATGAGATATTCAACATTTAAAACTATTTCTGTAAAGGTATTTCAGCATCTGTTTGTGTCTTATAAGATTAATCTGCCAATAGTTAATACTGAAAAAAGGGAATTTATGAGATATTGAAGAATAAAAATAATCATTTAAATATCACACTACTGTATAGTTTAAATAAAAAAGGATGGTGGGATCAGGTGATTCATCTTATTCTTCTCACTTTTAAAAATATTAAAAACATAAGTAGCTACTGCAAAGCCTATCTTAATCTAAATTTAAAATTTTCATTTAATTTCCATTGCTGACATTGGTAGAAATCAGACAAAGATACCTGGTCTGGAGATTCTTTGTTATCTGGCAGAAGAATGAGCATACTTAGTTCATCCTGATGATAAGGAAGCTCAAGGACTTGCAAGGGTGGGTTTTTTATTTTAGCCAGATTAAATTCATCTTCTAGGAACATCATCTGCACTTGTTTACTCTGATTCTGCAATAAACAAAGCAGCATTTAAACGTTCCTAGTATTCCATAGTAGCAGGATAGGTAGCTGTATATATAATAGATGTAATGTTGACTATAGTTAGCTAGTTGACATAATTTCCAGTGTCAACAAAATTTTAAATCAGAAAGTCATATGCTGCTCAGCTAGTGAGAAAACCCCAACTTGATTGTTGCAGTTCTTGGAAACATATGGGAGGCCAAATCCCACAATTAGTCCCAACTGGAACAAATCCACTAAAATAATGGGAACTTAGCAAGTCAACTCTTACACTGATTCAATTATCCCCTTTCATTTGGTACTAACAAAATCTTCTAAACCAACATAGCCATACTGGCCAATATGTTTTGAGAGATGTAAGTCAAAGAAATGTAATGTTTTAAGCTCTAAATCTGTGTATTCCAGGTCATTATGGAACCGATCATAATGGATACATTCCCATGTCTGCAAGCTTTTAGACATACCATACCTTGCTAGTCCAAAATGGTGCTTCGTGTGTTTTCTTTGGATCAAATTTGACCTTCCACTTTCCTTTGAAGTATATGGCATTCACTAAGATCAAGACAGCATCTTGGGAAATACTCCCACTGGGAAAGAGATCCTTGATTTTACCTTTTTGAAAATAAATTTAGATTATTGTCTTTTTATTTAATTATTTTTTTTAATCTGTTTTGAACTGTGATGCTAAGGAACACACAAAATGATCTGATACGAAATGAGCGAGAAGTGACACAGGCTCTCTTACCATTTGTCTGGCTTTCAACCCAAGAGTTAATCTTCTTTCTGACTTCTTCTGTTGCGTTACTAAAGTCAACTCTTTCCAACTCAGCATGATACAGCTCCTTTGTGGAATGTAAGTATTGCTGTGCATAATTAAGTACAATAAGGTAACTATAATGTTTATTTACAACAAATGGGAATTACTATTTACATTACATGTTTCCTAATTTTGACTTTTCATGGTTTTAACACTTGAGCTTTAAGTGGGAATCTTTTCCCCTTCAGATGTTTGGGATTTTAGCTATCAGCATCATCCAACATTGGAGATTGGTAATGAATTATTCAAGTTAACACTGAGTACAACTGGAAGGTCAACATCTCTCAGTATATTACTTAAGTGCAGACTGTTGCAAGGAACTGGAAAGTGTAAGACAAAGAACCTACTAAGGGAGCAATATATAAATGTATTACGAACCAAAATAGCAAACATGTTCATGCATACAATAATGTAATTATATTCTCTATCTATCTATCTATCTATCTATCTATCTATCTATCTATCTATCTATAGTCATTGTTTGTATGTATGTGTGTATGTATGTATGCGTGGGGCGGCAATGTATTTTTCTGGCCCGGCCTACGACTTCCACAGAGCACTACAGTCCCTACAAATGAAGAACCTGTATCAAATTTAGCATGATCAACATAACATAGCAGCGGGGTCTGGAGGGGGGAGGGTGGACTATGGATGATGGGATTTGCAGTACATTTACCTGCTTTGAATCTGATTTCAACTGACCTTGGCCCCCACTAATGATGGACCTGGACCAAACGTGGCACACAGACACCCCATGATGCGCTTTACACACTGGAGTGGTATAGGGGAGCATTGACAATGGACAATAGAATTTCCAGTACTTTCACCTCCTTTGGCTCCAACTTTCACAGACCACTGCGACCCTCACAAAAGACAGGCCTGGACCAAACTTGGAACCCCCCACAACACACTTTACATCCTGGTGAGGTTTGGGAGAGGATGGACCACAGATGATGGGATTTGCAGTACATTCACTCACTTCCAGAGACCAGTGCAACACCCATAAATGATGCATCTGGACCAAACTCTCACACAGACCCCCCTCATAGCACACTTTACATCCTGGTGGTCATGTTTGGGGGAGGATGGACCATGGACTATGTGATTTGCAGTACCTTCACCCACATCCAGAGACTACATGTTACCTCATCACCCAGGATCTGTGCCAAGTTTTGCACAAAGACTTCCCATGATGCATTTTATATCCTGGTGGAAGATGGACCACAGACAATGGGATTTGTAGTACCTTCCCCCATTTCCACAGGCTACTGCGGCCCCGATGAATGATGGACCTAGACCAAATTTGAGACACAGACCTCACCCACGGGAAGAGGTATAGAAAGCAAAATTTCTTACCTGCAAGAACTCATAACTGCTTGATCCATACAGTCTGTTGGCAATATTCAGATCATAATCTTTGGTAGGCTGGTTGATGGCAGATAAAAGTGCCTTGAACTGTTCATGAGGTCCTCCAGATTTGTCACACTGTGCCCCAGTAACCTTTAAAGAGCAAAAGCTGTTTAACAGGACATCTGTTGTCTTGTAAAGAACAGTTTAACATATACTGTAAAGCAGGCTTTACAACAGAGTGTGAAAATACTGTATGCCATTTTGGACTACAGCTGTGATAATACCTCATCCAGTAACCACACCTACCATTCTGTCTGCAGAAAGTCTGGGAGTTACTATCCAAAGCACACACTTTAGCACTCAGAGCCAAAATAACAAATAATATAGTTATGACAGTGAAATGCTCATGAAAATGCTCTTACCACCTCATCACATGGAGGCCAAGGAGTGTCTTCTCCCCACTTTTTGGCACTGCTGGCATGCTGCTGGCACAGAGTCTGCTGGAGCCCATCAGATGACGCAAGGCTACTTCCAGCAGGGCTCCATGCCAGCAGCATGCCAACAGTGTGCTGACAGCGCAGAGACATGCAGTCCTGACTCCTCATTCAAGAAGATGGGGAGGTAGTGGGAGGAAGCTGGGAACAGTGGAGAAACATGAGAAGGATCCCATGACCAACCTTGGTAAGGGGACAAAGCAGTATGCTGCCCCATAGTTTTCCCCACTAGCCCTCAGCTTCTAGGCCTACATGTGATGAGGTCCCTAGAGGCAAAAAGATATAATCTTCACTAAGACAGAGGAGCCCCCAGTGGTGCAATGGGTTAAACCCTTGTGCTGACAGGACTAAAGACCAAGTGGGAGATTTAAATCCGGGGAGAGTGAGCATGAGCTCTCTCTGTCAGGTCCAGCTCCCCATGCGGGGATATGAGAGAAGCCTCCCACGAGGATGGTAAACCATCAAAACATTCGGGCACCCCCAAGGCAACGTCCTTTCAGATGGCCAATTCTCTCACACCAGAAGTGACTTGCAGCTTCTCAAGTCACTCCTACCACACACACACACACACACACACAGATAGTGAAAACAAAGAAGGAAACAGCCAACAGTTTGCTGGTATCACAGAGACATGCAGCCCTGACTTCTCATTGAAGAAATTGAGGAGGATGTAGGAGGATGCTGAGAATAGTGGAGAAACATCATGGGAAGGGGTCCCATGGCCAACCATGGTAAGGGGACGAAGCAGTGTGCTTCCCCATGGTTTCCACCTCTATCCCCCAGCTTCTAGGCCTCCATGTGATGAGGTCCCTAGAGGTAAAAAGTTGTAATCTTCACTAAGACAGTGCAAACAAAGAAGAAAAACAGAAATGGGTTTATTTGAATTACTTTTTCAAAAATAATTCCAACCAGCATACAGTTGGCTTTGCTGGCTTGGGGAACCTGAGAACCGGTGTATGTTTTGTACACCGCCACGAGTCGCCTTCGGGCTGAGAGTGGCGGTTAACAAATGCAAATAATAAATAAATAAATAAATAAACTGCAGTTAAAAAACTAAATCAATAGAGCTGTAGGACACTAAACAAACTAGGCACATTCTTGTGTTTTGGTGTATGTTTTCTACCCATTCAAATATAATTAGGATATACAGGGTGGGTCAAAAGTCACAAAGGAGTCTGATGTTTCAATAACATTTTGAAAAAGAAATTGAAAAGATTTTACACAAAATGTTATGTAATTTTCTTTCCTGTATATACTGTATATGATACTGTGATATTGTGACTTTAAAAGAAAAAATAAAGAGGTTATTAGATATTGAAAGCTCTTCATGATTTTTGGCATCACCCTATATTACTTGGGATGCCAAATACCTTGGTAAGGAGCAAACAGGCTAGTGCCATTTAGGTGTTTTGTAGTCATTTTCAAATGTTCAAATCCCCATTGCATGGCTCATTTAGTTAATGCACACAGCAGCCTTACTACACCAGACCATGTTCAAAGACAGCAGCTAATTGCTAATGGATTTGTTTCTGGTTTGGGATTAGATACCATTTTGAAAAGGTAATCTTTCTAGATTTGCATTTTTGCCTTCCTTAGTTGGAGCAGTGAAAGAGACAGAATATGACAGATAATACTCTTACAGGAACACCCTTCGAACTTCCAGATCCACCAATCTCAGTGAAGTGAAGGACCTGCAACATAAAATGTGAAATGAGAAACCTGTCATTGTGGTCTGCACAATTGTGGCAACCTTTTTTTTTTAATGAAGCGAAGTAAACGCACACACGCGCACACATTCTCTAAGGAGTGCTCATGTGAAGTCAAGAAAAAAGGGATAACTCAATAGTTGTGTCCAAACTGGTCTTACATATTCGAGAAGTAATTGCCACAACTCCTTCCATTCCCAGTAACATGTCCTTCAGAAATTACCCAGCTCTGTGTTGTATGAATAGAGAGTACACCCTGGAAGACAGCTGCTACTATGGAGAGCTACTTGTCACATTCATTTTTGGGAAACCTAAGGACATTTTGCTGTCTGAGATGAAGCCAAAGAAAGTTAGTTCACATTCCAACTGCTATGAAGAGTCCACACAATGTATGAAGGGATTTGCAGCAGAATTGCTGCTTCCAGAAGTTAATCAGATACAAGGGGAAACAAAATCTGATGCCAAGAAGGCTCCAAGGATGTTCTCGTCCTTCATCAGAATAGCTGTCTAGCAGTTGGCATCAGCTTATTTGGGTAAGTATAGAGAAAGCCTAAACTCTACGCTAATTATGGAAACTGTTTTCTCCAATATACCTAAAATCAGCAGGTGATCTTAATGATGCGGGACAGGCCCTTTGACATACATACATACCTCTTTTCTTTCAACACAATACTACTATTCCTGTGCCCAGAGGGAGCTGCCTCACTCATTGCTTTATGTCTATGCTGGCAACATTGTATGGAAGAGTCTATGATTAGTTTTGAAGAAGCTCCATATTTTGTTTAAAATACAAATAGAAAAACACTGTAACATGCTGCATTGTTGGGCATGGACACAGACTTATGGAGTGTGCTCCCCTTAGACCTCAACCACACATATACTTTCCACTTCTTGTGCATACAAGATCCCAGACTCTAATTGCCATTTCTGAACCTCAGAAGAAGGGATGTGAAAATCTTTCATTTGAATTTTTACTGAGGGTTTTTTTAAACATATCTCGACTACAGTTTCTTCCAATTGTTGTTTCATATAAGTTGTGAAGCACTGTATTTTTCTCATATTGCATTTCCACATTTCATTTTTAAAAATAACTTTGTGTTTCAGATGTCAGTGAGGGACATTTCCAAGTGATTTCCCCCACAGCTGGGATTATGGGTGGGCCTTACAACAATACTGTCCCACGTTTTCCCTTGTGATGGGATGATTACCTTTTCCATCTGTTTAGCAGTGTTCCCTCTGGCACCCATAAGGAGCATGCTCAGAGCTGCTGAGATACTCAGTGGGGAACAGAAGATGTTTCCCCCCTGACTGTTTTTCAACAGTATTTTCAGAAGTTCCACAGCAAATTCAGTGTTTGCATCGGTGAGGGTTTTCATGGTTGAAGCCAAAGATACCTGTGACAATAACAGAAACACAATAACATATCATTTAGAAGCGATATGTGGCTTATGATTCTGGCTTAATATACTGCCAGGTTACAGTTTCAGGATTATGAGATATTGTCTTGTGCTGTATCAACTGTCATTGTATATTTCTTCCCCAGGGCCTTCTTCCAAGTGGCTGCGGGAGAGGGGGGGCGGGTTCTAGTAAGGCAACGATGGCTGCATGTTTCACTCCCATTGGCTATCAGTCCCCATTCATGCCAGTTAGGTGTTCCAAGTGCCAGAATGAGCTCTCCTAAGCTTGCTCCAATCTACACCCCACCCTCCCTCCCTATGTCTAATGAAGCAGTTTTTATAGTTTTTAATTTGTAATTACTTTGCTGGACTGTTTGAATAGGCCATGGATCCAGGATTGGGAGACTAATATACCCAAGGCACTCTGTATGTGGTTTGGAATCAGTCTTCCCCAGTTTGGAGTGAATGTTTACCACTTYCCCCTAGTGGCTGACAGATTAAAGACCTCATCACACTTACCTAAATCAGCATCCTTGATGCTTCCCCTTCCATCTTGAGGATGGAACCCCATGCCAGCTATTTCACAACATCATGTGACTTCTGGAAGGGGACCTGCCCTCAATTGGGGTGGAGGKATCATTGGACGCTTTRCCCACAACACGGGAGGCTTCCCATGTTGTCCAATGGAGCCAGCACATATTCTTGCAGAACGGCGATGCTCCCCARATGTGATGGGAGCTGTGTGTGGGGTGATTTGCCCCACTGCCTCCATGTTTTCTCACCGAAGCCAGGCAAAGCTGGACGCTTTACCTGGACCTTGTGATGAGGCTCTTAGGCTGATGCAGCACAGTTGTTAACTCTCATGCCATCCCTTATGGGATCTGACATAGATTCAGATCTGCTGGCTCATTGATTGATTGATGCCTGGATCCAGGCTTATGGAGTGTGCTGCCTTTGGACCACATCAACCCTTGTATACAGTTATAACTAAATAAAGTTGTGGCATTTTTCTCTCTCCAAGTTATGGTGTATGCCTGAGGTTCAATTCTTTGTCCGGAGCATATTTCATACCTGAACATGCAATTAAGCTAAACCAGTTAAAAGCCAACCACAACGTGCTCTTTGGATAACCAAAGAAATAATTAATTTAAAAGAAAAATGGATGCTTCCAATCTTCTTGAGGTTTGAATATGTGGGAAGTTGTTTGGATATATAATGCTTGATTGTGGGATGGCATTATTTCCAAACCTGGCAATTACTCTGATTGCCTTACTTTGACAGGAGTTCAATTGGGTTTAATAGTAAGTCATTTTGATATGTAAGTCTTCCTTCAAAGGATGAAAGGAACTATGTCCAAACAAATGCAGCTTTTGTTTGGTAATACTGTGGCTTTGTTGTTTGTTTGTTTTTTTGTCAGTTTACCCTTACCTGTAAAATTGAGAATGAGGTAGAAGACGATAGCTTTACTCTATTGTTGAAAGGCAATGTAGAAAGCAAACATTCTCCCTCCTAAACATGGATAAATGTTGATTTCCAGTTTCTTATCTATAAAATCCCTAACATCCCAATTCCATTAGCATAGAGGTGGGACTTCTGCTTCGACATGTGAGTAGTATGAAGCTTGCCTTAACTTATGGTTTCCCCATTTTTCCTCTGTCATAATATACCTCAGTTTCACATGTATCCACAAACCAGGCTATTGTTTGTAAGACAACGATACACAATCTTTTCTAGAAATTAAGGAACCTCTGAAACCACTCAGTTTACTAAGACCTCTGCTGAACACATATTTTGGAAATTGTGTAAGGGACAATGTCTCCAGTTTGCTGTGAGGCCATAGCAGAGGACATCCATGTTTAATACAAAGTGGACCGAAATTCGCAAAGAGTTTCATTATTTAATACCACCTTTATGTTTATAATACAGCAAAGCTTTCCAAGCTTTGTGTTGGCTGCAATGTGTAGGCGTGTTGCACTAATGTAAGGAGAAATAACAAAAATATTATCATAGAAATCATTTTTTAAAATATAGATGAAACATTTTCATGAAATATGTTGTGTCTCCATAAACTTCTTAATTACAATTATGAATGTGTCTATGTCTCTTATAAGGGGTTGGTTTAATCTCCAGTTTTTTAGTAAAACTGAATGATTGTGTCATGAAATGATGCTTGCCTAAATCGTGTTTTATCAACATGAAATATTTTGAAAGCTCTGATATACAGTATATAATCATCAAGCCCCTTTGTGACTTGTAGCCCACCCTGTATATATGCAGATTTGATTTGCAGGGGAGATTATAGAAGCCTAAGCTCTCAAAGAAAAACTACTGATAGTTAAAAATCCAGTCCAATATATCCCAGCAATTATGGGTGAGCAAAATGTTCGGCTGTAACTTCAATTGGCATTTACAGGCATAGATGCTATGCATGGAGGCAAAAATCCCGTAAATAACTATTGACATAAACCTTAGGTTTCTATCAGCAATACAAACATACATATATTGAGACATACATATATTGACTCCGAATATTTATATTTTGATATTTTAAATATTTCCATAGCAAGCAAGGGTTTTACTGATCAGTTCAAAAATATTTAGCTATCAAATTAATCTTTAAACATGCTGCTATTTATTTATTTATTTATTTATTTATGACATTTATATGTCGCCCTTCTCATCCCGAAGGGGACTCAGAGTGGCTTACAAGGTATATATACATACAGTATATATTATTAGCATAGTACAATATCAGTATTAAATATTACTATATTGTACTATACCATTATATTGTAATATTATTAGTAATATTACATGTAATATAAATATATAATTATAATATATTATTATTATTATTATTAGTATATTGTATTACATTATAATATTATAAATATTAAATGTATATTATATTATATATTATATATTATATTATATTATATTATATTATATTATATTATATTATTATATTATTATATTATTATATTATTATATTATTAGAATAGCACAGGGGACAAGGGAACTGTCCCCTGGCCCCCTCTGTCTTCACTCTGGCCCAGAGTAGCAATTTATGCTGTGCCAAAAATACAAAGAATTTTCGCTCAGGTTGCTACTTAGAGAGCATGACAATATGTTAAATAGAGCAGAATAAGGTTTTGGTTACCATACGTTGTATTTATAAGGTAGTGGAAAATGTGTGATGGAATAAATTAATACAATGTTGTATATTTATACTGTACCAAAAATATAAAGGATTTTAGGTCCGGTTGCTATTGATACCCCTTCTACACTGCTATATAATCCACATTATAAAAGCAGATAATCCACATTATTTGTTTTGAACTGGATTATATGAGTCTACACTGCCATATAATCCAGTTCGAAGCAGATTAATGTGTATTTAATATGACAGTGTAGAAGGGGCCTTAGAAAGCATGACAATATATTGAATAGATTTTGGTTACGTCGTATTTATAAGATAGTGGATAACGTGTGATGGAATAAATTGATACGATTTTAAAATGATAACAGTAAGAAAAACTTGGAATGAAAAAGGTGAACATGCCTAATTAGAGACAGAACTGAGATTAATCCTGAAGAAAAAGATAAAGTAGTATTATGCACCAGGCAAAAATCTGGTCTAATCCAGTTGAGTTCCAGATCAGGCTATTCAGATTAGAGACTGTCAACCTTAATCTTCTGAAGAAGTAATCAATCAGACACCTACTCATTTTTATTAATCTGCTCACTCAGCAGGTTTGCCGGGTTGGATAGTTTAGAAATGCTATACCATTTCATTAGAATAAAGAGGATAGACTTGTTGTTGCTGGTTTGATCAACATGAAGGAAACAAAGGGTGCAACACAACTTTTTAAAATGTATTTTGTGTTGTGCTTTTCCTATTTTTATATGTCACAGCAGATTCTATTTTCATATTATTGCAATCCACAAGATACTGTTTACACAGTGAGGGTTGATGTAGTCCCATGAAAAACTCTTTCAGTTCACTTGGCGCTTTTTACATTGTACGCCTACTTGGTTAAATTCTCCAATTATAGTGTCCATTTTGAATATGAAAACTTCACTCTCTTGCGTTTCTAAAATTCTACATAATCTATCATCCTGTCCAATAACTACCCTCCTATTAGAAATTTGTTCACACATGGATGCACACACATTTATAATATATACACATACAAATTTTACTCATGGGAAAGAAAAGTCTACGTGAAACCTACCTTTTATTCTATGGGAGAGATTCTAACTCTGCTGAAGAGACGAAATGGTGCAGTGAGTCCTTCTGGGCGTTGATATTTAAAGATGCAAATTTGCATAAAGACTAGCTTGTTGCAAACACACTTCTGGGAGTTCCTTGGAATTCAAAAACTAATACTGAAAATGTAAATGAACCTCTGCAGTACTCAGGCTACTGTGACTGCATCTAAGAATTCATGTCTGATGAGGCAAATAAAGGCTATACCAGTAATGTAATGTATGTTGTAAGTGGAACACAAATATGTTGCAATTTGCCATTTTTGAAGAGGTTGATTTCCCTGGAAGTAGAGTCACACTGAGATCATAGGTTTCCTAATGCAACAGGTGTCTTTTTGGCATTATCTAGGATTTCATGGTGTCTTCCAGGTGTGATCAAGAAATAGCAAGGACAGTGTGGTAATATTGGAACCAGGGTGGAAAATTTCCCAGTGACTCAGACACTGAAGGGGCAAATTTAAGGTAGAGGTTGGTGGAAATCTTCATCTCATTTCATGTTACTGTTTTCATCCAAACCATATATTTTTAAAAATAAATATTTCCACTATTTGATGGCAATAACTTCCATGTAAATGTAGTATTATGGCCTTAGGGCATATCTCCAGTCTATGATTTAGTTATAAACAGAAAAGTTAGCTTTTTCAATTTCTAACCAGTAGGGATACTGGTTACTGGTTTTTCAGCCCTAGAAACCTTCATCCAATAAAGATAAGGTAAAGGTTTCCCCTTGACATTAAGTCTAGTCATTTCTGACTCTGGAGGGTGGTGGTCATCTCTATTTTTAAGCCAAAGAGCCGGTGTTTTCCGTAGACATCTCCTAGGTCATGTGGCTGATATGACTACATGGAGCACTGTTACCTTCCTGCCGGAGCGGTTCCTATTTATCTACTCACATTTGAATGTTTTCTAACTGCTAGATTGGCAGAAGCTGGAGCTAACAGCGGGAGCTCACCCTACTCCCCAGATTTTAACCGCCGACCATTCAGTCAGAAAGTTAAACAAAAAGCCAGCCTTTCCATTCTTCTGTGAAATTTGCCAAAATGACCTAGAATTGTACACAAATGTGTTGGTTTGTGTCACCCACTTATATCACCCCTAAATCTTTCCAACAACCCCCACAAAGTGAAAAAGCTGACATTCACCCAAGCTGGTAAAATCAATTTTAGAGAGCCTAAGCACTATAGTGCAGACTGGGCCATGAGAGTGAAAGCTCAACTTCCAGTTCAGTCACTTGTTATTGCATTCATGCAATTGCTAGATGAGAAGATTTGAGCCTCCCATGATCACAAAACAACAACAACAATAAAAACAACAACAGGAGCAATCCAGGAGCCATACAGTCCAACCTCCTTCTGCCTTGCAGGCAGCGGACAGATCTTGTAGGCCATTGCATTGTAGGCATAGGGGTGGGGCAAACAACTAAGGAAGGCAGAGGCTTATTCAAGGACACAAATGGAGGCAGGTGGGTTGTCTTCTAGGGGCTTGGCAGACTTCTGTCCTGCAGATGGAGGGGGAACTCTGGGTTTGTTTTTTTCCTTGTACAGAGAAAGCTCAAGATACTGGGGCCCAGGATCTTCAAGAACAAGCTCTTTGACGATTCCGGAAAAGAGGGGAGACCCAGTTTGTCCCCATCGGTAGGTGTAGAAAAGCTAAGCAGTCTGAAAGACTGTCCTACTTTTTTGTGGGCACACCAGATGCTTGTTTCTCCCCAAACCCAAGTGGAAAGCCCACAAAGATATGCAATCTCCTTCCTCTTCCCTGGGACCTCCCTCCCTGGTAACTTGCTGAACACTACCTGATCCTTGACGTTGTCCAAGTCCAGGAGCAGCAGGGAAGGAAGCAGGGGAAAGGAAGACAAAGAGCCCTGCAGAGCACAATTTGAGAACCATTGAACTAGATCAAATGTTTAATATATATTTTAGAAGCGGTACTGGTTTGCATAGCATGCTATTGACATCACTTGCTTTTCGTTGTGATTTTTTTTAATTTTGGAAGTTAACATGGACTTAATTGGTGATTGTGATGGCTGAGATCACATCTCTCACTGAATCACAGATTTCCTTAGAAAATTAAATTGTAACTCCCATGATGTGCAATACTTCCTAGGTAATGGATTCCTATTTTGTCATTAGTGCAAGTTATATCATGTCAGTTTATATGTGCCACAAAACCATATAACTCTTTGACATCAAATAAATCTTCAGCTGATGATTCATTGGGAGATGATGGGTATGGGAGATTCTCCTAAAGATTATGCTACCATTGGAAGGCAAACAATCTTTCCATTCTTGTTGACTATGAGAGTGAGGTCAGAGCCAACTGTTCTGACTTTCTTCATTGTTTGTGTTGTTCAAAATCTAGTCCATTTGGAAAAGCGCATTAGAAACCAGTGTTCTGTGAGTTATCAAGTCTTTCAGACTAGAAAAGACAGGCATTTACATATGTAAATAAGACAGAGATATGGATGGAAAAGAATGAAGCTGGTGTCTATATTCTCAATAAGATTGCCCATTTCATACTTTTTAAGACTCATTGTAAGGTGAACTCTATTATGGAAATCTGCATGTTTTTAAAGGCTCATGATGTGAAAAAATAATGATGTTGGAAAATAAAAAATGTAGTCAAAGTGATGCTTACCTTTTAAAACACGGGAGTGGCTAAAATATGTAGGATTCTACAACATACACAAATACATTTCAGTGAGTTGAGGAATGGGTACATTAAAAAGCACACTAACATATGTTTTAGATGCAAAAAAATTAAACATGGATTTACTTATGAGAGGGTGACAAAATATGAGAGTGAAATGTGAAATCTGGAGAAAGGAACCAAATGTTTTGACATTGACGGATTTTACATTTCTAAAATATAAACAGGCTTTTTAAATACTGTTTTTACAGCTATTTTTACAGAGAGGCATAAGGTGTTTCATTTGGATTTATTTAATGTTTCAAAAGAATTTTTGCAAAGTGATAAGAAAATGCAATAAATGAATCAATAGCTTAGATATTTAATCTGCTAGTGCTACACTCAGAACGGGAAAATCTTACAAAATCTGGCCTTGTAAGACTGTGGGGTTTTTTTGCAGAAATATTCGCTTGCAGAAGATGGGCTCTGATGTAAGTCAATGGAAACTACAGTCAAGAAATATGAAGATGTGGGAAGTAAGCATTCTATACACACCATTTCTCTTTTAAATGGAGAAAGCAGAAGTAAGGCATACAAATAATGAACGTTTTAAGACATTAAACCTAAAGTTTTGTAATTTCTTAAGAGATGAAAGTTTTGTTATGTTAGTCAAGAAGAACATTGCAGTTGAAGTAAATTTATTTATTCTAGAACTCTTAACATTTTCAGTGCATCACCAAGATAAGGTTGCCTGTTGTAAATTCAGCATCTGGTGATCCTCATGGTGAGGAATATCTGCCACCAAAAAGGATACTCCCAGTGCTATTATGTCTTATTAAAAACATGAAGGGATGTTCAGCTTTAAACTCTGGAAGAATTTCTACACTCACTGGAACTACTTCTACACCAGTAGCAGCAGCTGCTTCTGTACCCTCTTCATTGACATCAACATAAGCTTTATGAATGACATTGGACACAATCAGATTACGGTCCTGGTTTTTTGATATGCCCGATAAGTCAGCTTTTCCCCGTTGAAACACATCAGTCATTCCCATGGCTTCTAAAATTGGTACAAGTTCACATTTTTCTTCCAGTTTGAACTTTGGTATGAAAACTCTCATTTTTTGTTTCTTCATATGTGCTGAACTGGTCCATTCTTTCAGCTTCACATACGTGAGTTCTCTTTCAAGCTGTCAAGGAAACAACAAATTAACACAAAAGTAAGTGAAAATACAGTGGGAAGGCATAGAGGCATTATTAAAACAGATAATCTTCCCCCAAGTCATTTGAAATATCTTTACAATAGAACTTCAGCTTGGGAAAAAATATTATGGAAACTTTCTTATCTACTACTATTTCAACCAAGCCCCCCACAATTCATAGTACTTTCTTCTTTCTCATCCAAGGGTTTCATCAAATTCTATCCATTTTATCCATGGGCCTCACTCTCTTTGTTTAAGTCTATTACTATTTTATGATTTGTTTTATTATGATTTTGTTATTTTCATTTCATTACTATGTTTTTATTAAGCATTTTATTTGATGTTATTGTTTTGTTTATATGTACTTTTGTTTTATTGTAGCTTGTTTGGGCTTGTTCTCATGTTAGCTTCCCCGAGTCCCTTCGGGGAGATGGTGGCAGGGTATAAATAAAGTTTATTATTATTTATTATTATTATCTGCAGAAACTATTTTGTGGAAAATACTGCATGTATGAGGAAAAGAGAACATTGAATACATTCACTTCATTCAAACACCCAATCATTGCTCCACTATATTTTTTAAAAATGAAAATAATTTTGGCCCAATGCGTTTGCCATAGTTCAAGCATGATCAAAATGAGAAGGAGTGAGTTGCAATGAGTTTTGTACTCATGTGTCTTTCTCTCCATCCAGATACTTATAATGCCACTTTCACTTAATCACATGTCATGTCATCTGGACTCATAGGTTCTAGCTACAGTTAACTATGGTTAGTTTCAAACAAGCTAACTTTAAAACATGAGTGAGTAACCCATGGCGTGCTAGCCTGGATCATTTGGCCTGCAGAGCTGTTGAATGATAGTCTTTCCCAGAGCTTTTCCTCAGATACTGAAGGACTTCATAAATAACTATATTAGTTGTGATTTTGAGTAGCACTACTCAAGTTTATTGTTCAACTTCATACCTTTCTCGGGTAGGATCAGGGAGGAGCAAATCCAACTGAAGAGGAGGTGACACCACATGTAGCACTTCCACAAGCAATGATCAAATCCTTCTTCAGCAAAACTACATATATCATCAAGGATACTAGCAAATCTTTTGACCTTGTGCAAAAGTTGTAAAGGTGTACATGATTGGAGATGTTTTTCATGAAGATGTTTTTCAGTAATTGGCTGTTATGTATATGTGGAGGGGAGCAGCATGCCATCAGTACAGGGGACAAGTA